CGGTGGGCGGCTGGCGCGGGCAGGCAAGATTGGCATGGTTGCTTTACCACACAATGTTTGCATTAACCCCCTTTCCAGCTAGAGCATCCAAGTTTGATAAGAGCCAGGCAGGGAGCTGTGTAATGGCCATACAAATCTCCCCACTCAGTTCTTAGCAACCTGGGATACTCTGGTCGGCGTCCCATCCAGCTCCTGGCAATCAGTGAGATGACTTTTTTAGTTTGTAAGCCCTCACGGGCAGGGCCCTCCTTACCATCTTGTCTTGAATTGTATTGTGATTGTAATGTCTTCCTTCTATTGTAAAGCGCTGCGCAAACTGTTGGCGCTATATAAATCCTGTGTAATATTTGTTGGGTTTGGCCTTTAAATGCCATATAGCAGGCAAGTATAGTGGCTGTGTTGTGTATACGAAGGCCTGGAGCTGCACCTGTACAAAATGCAGCTGAATTATTTGGCATTTGCCCATGAAAATGTGTGGCCAAAGCCTGATTAATCTTTCCTTTTGATTTTAACCCCTTGTGGGGCCAAGTGCGCATCGGTCCGTAGAGAGTCGGTTGAATCCTCTGTGTTTACATTTCATTGAACATCCTGTGGTGCCTGTTTTATTTCTACCTCTGGCATGTTGTGTCAGATTCGACTTGGTTGTAGAAGATGTGTTTGCCTTTATATAGGCTATGAACGTCTGCTCAAATCTGCTGACTTCACTAAAACTGACATGTATTCCTGTCGAGGGCTAGTTCACAGCCAATGGGTTTTCCAGTATGACCTAATAGGCTGCATTCAGATTCATTGTGCTGGAGGTGTGCAGTAGAATTGTGTTTGCTGATACGCTGTAAATAGTAGAATGCCTATCTCTGGTCAGTTCTAATTTCTCAGTTCTAAGGTTAGAACGAGGGATGAGGTCGGGTTCGGACTGAACCTGAGCTTCTCCGAACAACGATTTTCCATGGGCACTTCAACCCCGTCAGCTGCAGGCTGGGCATTCCCCGCCCCGCAGCTGCAGGTAAACAAAGGGGCAGGATGCTTATGCTGACATTTTACCTTTTTTATATGACCACATTGCTATATTAATCAAATGTAATTTACCTAATATAAGGTCAATTATGTAACCCTTTGCTTGTGTCAAGCTGCGGGTGGGGAATTCTCTTCTGTGTTGAGGATCAGCTTCTTCTCGGTTTGGAGGAGCTCAGGTTCAGTTTAAACCTGAGCTCATCCCTAGTTAGAACCTCTTTCAGGCTTTTGTTTGTGTTCCTGGCTGGGTAGAATTGAACTTTCTATGTGTCCTGGTGACCATTGTTACTGGAAGAGAAAGATGGGAAATCCAAAATTGTACAACATTCACTGAAGCTGGAGGTAAGAGGAAATCTTCGAGTGTGAACAGGGGATAGCTAGGAGGGGATTTCCTTTCGCTATGGAAAGATTTCCTCTATTTCTTGTTGTGACTTGGTGAGATGAGGTGAACGCAAACCTTTTAAAATGGGGGCGTAAATCACGTTTTCCTGCAGCGGATCAACATAGGTCACTGCAGGTGCACGTAGAAACCAGTGGTTTTCAGTGTGACTGATTTCACACCACAATGCTGTGGAGAGATGTGAGATGCTATAAAATGAAGCATGTATGCATTTTCTGCAATGCATGAAGCAAATAAAGTGGACCTTGCTACAAGCTACTGAGCATTCTCTAAGATCTTATTAGCAGGAGGATGATGTCCCTCCCTGCACTATGGACGTTGGAGACAGATAGGCAATGTTCCTTAACTATTTTTTCCCCCCATGGGTTCTTTTTTTTTTCACTTTCAATGCAGGGTTCAAGAAAGGAGCGTAGGGGCTTCAATGAATAGGCAGACCATGTGAAGAGCAAGGTCCGCTTTAAGCAAGCTTTCTGGGTTCTGTTCCTCCTCCAGCCTGTGACTAGACGGTGAAAGGAGGAGCAGCAGCAGGCTGAGCTTATGGATCTGTCACTTCTGCTCTTCCTATCAGCATGTCCCTTGGTATCGCATGAACACGGAAGAGCAGCTTATTGGCTCCTTGTGCTGATTCTTACTATCCCATTATGAGTTCTGCTGTGCAGTGGACTGCAAAAGGCTGACAGCATGTTAAATTCAGGTGCTTACACTGTTTGCATTTAAAAAAATACATTTAGTGATCTATTAATAGAGACAGAGCTGCGTCACCCGTCAGTGAACTCCTGAATGATCTGAGAAGCATCTCAAACTGATGCGAGTGGAATACACCTGAAGGCAAAGCTGTATTCGGACGTCTGCACTAATGATGATGGAAATTATGTTGGTGAGATCGCTGCTGCAGTTCCCAAAATCCTAATATGCCAGTGGGTGCCTCAGACCACCAGATGCCACCACATTGGGGTGGATTGACCCTTAATCTGTAACTGGCGTACTTTGGTTGCAGGCTTTCATGCAATAGCATTGTAGTATTTACTTCTACGATCTGTACACGGAGTTCTGACAGCAAGGATTTTTGTTGATTTTATAATTAAGCGCACAAAATTACTAAATTGTTTTGTCAACTTTGAGATTTTTCCTGGATTAGGACCATTAGCTCAAGGTAGAGAATCATGAATATAGCTTAGTGTGTCAATGATCTGGTATTTAGTGGAGTTAACGACATAATTATTTTTTAAAATATTTATAAGAACTGTGGCCATGTGGGCCGCCTACCATGTTGATTCTGCTATATAGTACAGGTTTTGTGCAACATGCCTTCCTTCAATGTGTTTTAAGTTGGGTTAATCATGTGCTGCTTTAGATCCACCTTTTGGCTGCCTGTGATTTTGTGTTTTTTTATTTTTTATTGTGTAATACTTCTAAATTCACACTTGCACACTTTTTTTTTTTTAAACAGAAATTTAGCATTACATGGCTCTTTCCATTGTTCCC